ATCTCTGTCTGGAAGAAGTTGAACTTTTTGATATCTCGTATCAGGGATGCCAATTTACCTGGACGCAGAAACCCTGTGGGGGAAATGGTATTATGCGTAAACTTGACCGTATTTTGGGTAATTCAGCTTTCATTTCGAGATTTGGGGATGCAGCTGTTGTCTTTGAACCACGGGGAATTTCCGATCATTCTCCGGGAATCCTTTCTTTCAAAGTTGGTAGGCGTATTCGACAGCGTGGTTTTAAATTTGATAATATAGTGACGTCTCATGTGGATTTTATTAAATCCGTGGAGGGGGTGTGGAAGAAACCTCATCGAGGCTCTTATATGAAAAGAGTGCTCAGGAAAATGCGAGATTTAAAAGGAGTTTGTCGGCGGCTTCATAATTCTTTTGGTTGTTTGGATAAACGGGTGGCTAGTTTAAAAACGGAGCTTGAAGTTGCTCAATTGGCTTGCGATCTAGACCCTTTTAATGCTTTGCTGAAGGAGGACATTGCTCACCTCCTGTTAGCATATCAAAAAGCTAGAAATGATCAAATGGAAATGATTCGACAAAAAGCAAAGATTTCTTGGCTAAATGAAGGTGATGGTAATTCAAAGTTCTTCTTTCATGCTATGAGAGAAAAACGTCATAGGAGTCATATTGCTACTATTGTTGATGCTGCTGGTACGATTTTCGTTAATCAAGATGTGCCTAAAGCTTTTCTTACGCATTTTGGGTATGTCTAATAGTTTGGTTAATCCGTCTATGGAAGATTGTACTTTTGTTCGCTCATTATCGGTATCAGAATCTTTGCACTTAATCAGACCTATTACGGACATGGAGATTCAGACTGCGCTGTTTGATATTGGGAATGAAAAGGCACCTGGTCCTGATGGGTTTTCGTCAAAGTTTTCTTGAAGCAGCTTGGAATGTGGTTGGGAGGGATGTTCTCATTGCGGTACATAATTTCTTCTACTCTGGAACTTTAGAATCCCAGTTGAATCATACTCTTCTTTGCTTAATTCCAAAGGTCCCCAATGCTTCTTGTGTTACTGATTTTAGACCTATTGCATGTTGTAATGTTTTGCTGAAATGTATCAGTAAAATTATTGCTGATATGATGAAAGGTTCTTTGGATTTTCTTATTAGCAAGGCGCAATTTGCTTTCATTCCTGGTCGTCAGATAACTGACAATATTCTAATGGCTCATGAGCTTGTAGCTGGCTAACAAAAACATCAGGGGGAACCAAAATGTGCTTTTAAGATTGATATTCGCAAAGCATATGATACCGTTGACTGGCAGTATCTTCTGGGAATGCTTAAGGGAATGAGATTTCATCTAGTTATGCTTAACTGGATTAAATCTCAAGTCACTTCGCCTACTTTCTCTATCTGTATTAATGGACAACCGGAAGGTTTTTTTCATGGAAAGCGAGGATTAAGACAAGGGGACCCATTGTCTCCTTATTTGTTCACGGTGGTTATGGAAGGATTATCGATGATTCTGACAAAATGTATTGAGGAGGAAGTCCAGTTTGCTTATCATCAAGGTTGCGCTGAGATTAAATTGACCCATTTATGTTTTGCGGATGATATTTTTCTCTTTTCTAAAGGGGAAGCAATTTCAGTTGAAGTGCTAAAACGTGCTCTCCATTTGTTTGAAGAACGATCGGGTTTGTCTCCAAGTCTTGCTAAAAGTGAAGTCTTCTTTGGGAATGTAGGGATGGATGTTCAGAATATCATTCGACACAGTCTTCCTTTTCGTCCGGGGGTTTTTCCTATTCGCTACCTTGGAGTGCCTCTCTCTCCTGTTCGGTTAAAGGTGCGTGATTTTAACCCTCTTGTGCTTAAACTTAAATCTCGTTTGATGAATTGGATAAATAAATTTCTTTCTTATGGGGGAAGAAGACAGCTCATCATCTTTGTGCTTCAATCTATGCAAACCTATTGGATGTCGGTATTTCTTGTGCCGACAACCACTATTCATGAGATTGAGCAGCTATTCCRTAATTTCTTATGGAATAAAATGGAGGGTGCTATGGGTAAATGTCGAGTATCTTGGGATAGGATTTGTCTTCCTATTCAACATGGTGGTCTTGGTTTGAAAAGACTAGCACTCTGGAATCGGTGTTTACTGTTTAAACATATTTGGGATATTCTTTCTCATAGGAATACTATGTGGGTATCCTGGATCCAGTCTCATTGTATTCGAGGCAGGAATTTTTGGATTATAAAGAAAAGGAATGAATGGTCGTGGCTTATTCGAAACCTTTTGGAGTTGAGACCTCAATGCAGAAGGTTTTTTATCTATAATGTGGGTAATGGTATATCCACTCATGCTTGGGAAGATAMGTGGAGTGAGTCGGGTCCCCTTATCCATTTGCTCACTTATAGATTCATTAATGGTCATGGGTTTCACAATAATTCTACAGTGTATGATCTAATGCAACGGTTTGGTACTACTTGGCCAGAGGATTGGATTCAGCTGTATCCCCAATTGCAAAGTGTTATGATCCCACTCCCTACTCAAATTGAGGATACGGTCCAATGGCTTGATGCTAACCATCAACGGAAAGCATTTGAAGTCAAAGTGGCTTGGCATACATTACAAGAAGCAAGGCTGAAGGTGCATTGGTATAAGGTGGTATGGAATAAAGCCTACATTCCAAAACATGCTCTGTGTATGTGGATGGCTTGTCAAAACAGATTACCAACTCAAGATCGCATTAGTCAATGGAAACATGAACCTCCGGACTTGAAATGTGTTTTCTGTAATCTTGTGCTTGAAACGCATAATCATTTATTTTTTGAATGCACCTACTCGAATAGTATATGGGAGGTCATTCAGAAGGAAGTTGGGATAACAAATTGTCCGAACAAATGGGAGGACATTCTTCACAGGGGTTTATCTCAAGGGTGGAAGTCATGGTCCACGGTTCAAAAGATTGGTATATCTGCTATGGTATACCACATATGGCGGGTGTAATAGTCTGGTTATTATTTTTAGTTATATATATATATATCATCAATTCTATATATATTTATATATGTTTAATATGTGTGTAGCATTATTTTAAGGAGAGGTTGGCTAAGTAAGCCTCCCATCATCTCCTTTTTTCTTTGTGTTGATATAAAAAGCTTTTTGTGAAGAAAAAGGGGACATTCACTTTTGTTACTGTTGAAAGTTTCTCTGAGAATTTGAAGAAAACGCACAAGAAGAAGAAGAATGTTTCAAAAGGTTTTGATTCTCAACTTCTAAAAGGTGAGTGTATTAAGAGCTTTGGATATGAATTGTTTTCATACAGATTGATAAGCATTTAGAACTGATTATTATGAGTTTGGTTGCATTTTATGATGATTCATGAGTAAACCGTACAAGTATTGCCCGGATTGAA